TTTTAGTTCAATTTTTTTTTTCCATTTTCTAAAACACGTTTTCGAAAATAGGTAAGAGAACGCGTTTTCACTGTTTTGGAAAATTGAAAACAAAAAATGGTTTGAAAACAATAAAGAGAACAGGGCCTTAGTTTTTCGGTTCTACATTAAAAAAAACAATGATTTTGGTTCTTAGAACAAAGAATCATTGTGTTCTACAAATGAGTGAATCATATCAAAAAAATCTAACATTTGTGAGCGATTCATTGGTCTACATTATTGAATCATTGTTATTAGACAATATTTTGTATGGAGATGGAACTTCATGTTTGTGTATTCAAATTATGATTATAGTTTGTCTGTTAGTTCGAACTTTTTTAAAGAATTTTATTACACTATTTATTTCGATGATTGATAATTTAAAGTTAAATTTGTTGAATGTTTTGATGTTTATTTTTTTTTATTCAAGCATATATTACTAACTTATGAATATAGTGATAGATTTTAATTTACATTTATCATTTGAAAATTTAAGCTCTTGTTTGTTTATCATTCTCGAAAAACTCATTTTCAACAAATTCAAAATTTTCCCCTATACATTCTCCAAAAAATCACTATTTGAAAATTCATTTTTTCTAAAAAAAATATTTTTAATGAGCATAAAAAAAGGTCTAAATAATGGAATCAGAACCAAACCAAAACCGAATAGCTCAGTTTCGATTTGGTTCCATAAAAAAAATCATTAGTTAATGATTATGTTCGATCTTTTGGGATCAAAACCAAATGGAATAATATCCATCATATTTATTTTCCACAAATTTTATAAGTTTCATGACTTATAATCACTTAAAGTTAAAAATAATACCATCAATCGCTTAATTTTTTTATTTTTTATTTTAATCATGTAAAGAACCACGTGGTTTAATTTATGTACCTTTTGGGAATAAAGATATATTCACACCACATTTTATTTGTTGCATCATGTTTTAATTGTATTTGGGGTTCTTAATCTTTGTTCATTATAACACTTATGTCTATAATTATTTTTCATATCATTCTTATCCTCGAACTTTCTATTAGTTAATACATTTTATATTTTATAATAGTTTTACGTCCAAAAGTCTGTTGAAATGACGTAAAACAACTTATTTTTCCATCATATTTCTTAAAATAAAAATAAAAAGTGCAAAAAATATTTTTCCCTCATTTCAAAGTATAAAAATAAAATATCTCGATATAAAATATCATCAAGAATGAAACGTACTAATTAATGGAAAGTTAAAAATAAGAATTTGACGGAAAAAAGTTAAGGAAACAATTGTTAAAATGAGCAAAAATCGAGGAGTTTAATTACAAAACGAGATGGTAATATAACTGCCCAAAGATCTGAAACGACTCAGAATAAGCAACTTCAGACAAAGGCTCCCTAATTTCGTTTTATTTACTATACTGCCATTGGATTAAGACTTCTATTAAACCATGCATGGATCGCCCAAAGTTCCTCGACAATTCTGTGGGGAGATGGGATTTTGATTCGTACGAGTATAACCTATAAAATTCAAATAATATCGTTGACTATTTAACATAATTTTGGGTTTGTTTCTCCAAGTAACGCATAATTACTTCGAATTACGACAATCAATTGCGTTTATCATTTACACTCGAATATGTGATTTTGTGTTGAATCAAGTGAGATGGTAGAAAAATTGTCTTGTTCAAATGCATCATGAACGTCTCATTTAAATAGTGTCGACTAGATGTTGAGGCACTAGACGTGCTTGAACTGGACATGTGAGCTTATAATATTTCTAGAGGAAAAAGAACGAAAATGACGAAAGGTTATTGTAGCGTTAGTGGTGTCAACTGAACGTGTCAAAGTGATATGTCCAAGACCGCTCGATAAAGTGGCTCGTGAACTGGCCCCATCCAATAACTAAAAAATTGGGTTGATCCGATTTAAATGATACAGTCCACAATTAATCGTCAAGCCCGTTTTATATATTACAAAACAAGAAATTGAATTTGAATTTAAAAGGCTGATCCATCGAACATCTATCTTCTTTGAAGTCAACAGCCTTTAATAAATAATTATTTCAATAGAACAGTTTGGACCCCAAGCTGCTTAGGCACAATTTATGCGTCAATCTCGACTGGGACCGTGAGCCGCCCACAGGTCGTGCCCATTCGCCAAATGGATGGACAAATTTTAAGAGTACGACCTAGACACATTATGCCTAAGATTAAGGATCTAAAATCTATATCTATACGTTCATTATAAGCGATGTTAGTGACTGATACATTTTTAGTTGTGTTTTGCGACCCTTTATATGCCGAAGACACCCCAATCCGAACGCTGCTCATTCGGTCCCCGTTGGCAGAGGCGTCGCTCACTCCGACGAGGTGGTAAGTCAACCAACAGCAGACTTAATGAAATGATTGACAAGACAATACATTGCTGTGCCGTCTCTACACGCCTACGCAGTCAAATCCTATGTCAGGGGAAAAGATAAGAGGATCTACGCATTAATGGCTTGATTGATTGACTCTAACGGGAACCATTAGATCATCTACCATCGAACGGACCCTATGGGTTCAAGATGAAATATAAAAAGCCTACGTTCCATACGTAAGAAGGCAATGCAAATTTACACATCAGAAGTAAACATTGATTCTCTCTATTACACGCCACGGCCGACCCCTTTTTTATACACCATGCAACCTAAAATAACAACCTAGGAAGTGCTGTAAACCATTCCCTGTGTTGATTCGAACATATGGCGATTAGATCTACAAGGACCTGAGTTTCAAATTTTTTGTTGGCCACTTCATAAAACCATTTTTTGGGGTTAACAAAATCGAAAAAATTTACTGATGTTCGTTCTTTTTTCTCTGATAAATGGTCAATCTTCTTAGATTTTGGTCCAGTAAGAATTTGAGGTCGGTTTGTACAGAACTTTTAGTTCTACTTTTTACAGAAGAACTTTTAAAAAAATTAATCTTAGACCAACTTTATATTAAAATAAATAAAGACTGGACCCTATGAGAATTTTTACTAAGAAAAAGCAATTATAAATCACTTTTTTGAGATTGGAAAGGATGGAAATGGGAGGGGAATAATTATCTTGTCCATTGCTGATGAAGCCTTTATTATGTCATTTACAGTACCTGTCTGACGTTTCTCCAGGGGTATTTACGCAGTAAAACCATAAATGAGGGGCATTTATTAGTTCGAATCAACTATATAAGAATTCAAGCTTTCATTATTATACTCTCAGTTGTTCATAAATTCTCTAAAAATTCAGAACTTCTCAGGAGCCTAACCTGAATCCTTCCGAAGGTAACAAAACCTAGTTTTCTCGAAATATTGTTATTTTCCCGAAGGGTTTATGTGAAGTACGATGTATCTTTAATTCAACATGATTTTGGGTAATTTTATTTGGGTTTGTAGAATTCTTCTGACCTTGAGTTCAACTTCTGTTAATTCTGGTTTTCGTATGTTTAAATGCCTTGGTATATTCTTAATATGCCCACTAGATGTTGGCTCCCCTGAGAATCCCATTCTTAGACTGATTTAAATGGATTGAGTAGCTGTCTTTTAATGATTCTTTGTTCTGTTCTTACAAAATTTGCCTGGGATGTTGAAGGATTAAGGATTAACCGGAATTTCCATTTTATATGGTATTTAATTCCATTTTTATATTTTAAAATGTCAACATTATTAAGAGAACAGTCCAAACCTTTCTAGATTCGTAGGTAGTCCAAAAACTTTATAAATTGGTCTATATTTTCATTTTTATTCAATGTGGGATTCTATCCCTTGACGTGCCCCACAAGATGGTTGCTCGTTTGAGTAGATCAATCTTAAAATTCGTGTACTCATTTTTTTTAGTTTTAATCAGATCGAATTATTCATTGGAGTTTAATGGGCTTTGATACCATGTTAAGATTAAAGGTCAACCTTATTAAGAGGAGTAGCTCAAACATTTATAAATTGTTCTATGTTTTCATTTTTATTCAATGTAGGATTTTATCCCTTAACATGTTGATATATGTTTAACTCGAATCCTCTGTAAACGTATTGAATGTTTAAATTATCTATAATTGATGTGTAATTAGTTTTTCGTCAACGAATATGATGTGAATTTTTGTTTCAGATTCATAAGATATGGGTAAATAACTACAAACATTATTCATCATATAAGCGTTGAGTGAAGTTTCATTTTAGTTGCTGTACTTTTTTTCTATTTTAGTTACTCGACTTCTGTTTTCATTATGGATAGACCTCCAAGTCAACCTCAGTCAAAAATTTATGGTTCTGCTTTCTAGTTAGAGCACCAAGTCAATCTCCAATAGAAAAGCTAATGGTTGTGCTTACGTGGTTGATGAAGTCTTGATACGTCTTATTTTGTCTATCTAAAACACGATTTCACCAAAAACAAACAAAGGAAATAAAAGAAGGAGAAAGCAAACATCTTGAGGTCTTTTTCTTTCTTTCTTATTTTAGTTACATTGTTGTCATAATAACGGCCTGTAGAACTTAATGCTCTCGTACTCGGCAGTTCATAAAACCTTAAACTTTCCCAAGATAATGTACTGGGACATAGTTGTCATGCGTTTTCTTGCCCTTGCAAAGAGAAATCAGGAATTAGAAGCTCATTCAGAACTTAGAACTTAGTTTGCTTAATTGTTTTTCCTTGCATTGAAGCTGCATAGCTGACGATGTTATTAATTTCATTCTATATTTAGAGATGTTTGCTGATTACATTCAAATTTGGCTGCTTAATTTGTTGTCATTTACAAATCTGGAAGTTTTCTCGTGTATCTCTGTATCATGTCTCTATTCCCAGAGGGCTAGCAAGGCCTCTGAGTATATCTTCATAGTCACTTGACTACTTTTCGTTCTAAGTGATTCTTTGGGGTTTAATATTCCTAATTTGTATAGTTGCAACTCTATCTTTCAGACATTTGTGCTCAAATTGAGATAGACGGAGCTAATTAGAGAGTTAATAGCTTATCTTGAGATGCAAGCATCACGGGATCCACAACCATCAGATGGCATTCACAGTTTGCACCATCAGCCTATGCAGCAGATTGAGCCTCGTTACTTTTCAAGTTTCCAAGTTTTGAACAGCAATTTGACTGGTAACAGAAGCCAAGGGACTGAAGTTTCTTTCCAAACATACGCCGAAAAATTCTTCACTTTGGAATCAACGCCAGCAACCGATTACAATTCACTTTCAGCTATAAATGTCTCGCCTAACTGGAGTCCATTTTCTCTCCAATGTTCTCAATCGCATGTGTCTGATCTTCATCACTCTTCTGATAATATTTATGGTTCTCCATTGAGTGGATTTTCCGGGGTTCATGGTGAAGACAAACTGATGCATGCACTAATGGTATTGAGGTATGAATTGTTGGGGCCTGAATCTGATATTGATGACAGTTGTTCCTTCAATGGTGTAGTCTCACAACCTTCTTCCTTGACAAGGTACAACAAAACCTTGGAGACAGCACACAGTATGGACCTAAAACAGCATCTCATTTCCTGTGCTAAAGCAGTATCGGAAGACGATAAGTTGACTGCAGATGTTTTAATGAACATTTTAGAAACAAAGGTATCGGTCTCTGGAGAGCCTTTGCAACGGCTAAGTGCATACATGTTGGAAGGTCTCCGGGCAAGATTTTTGTTGTCCGGAAGCAACATCTACAGGAAGTTGAAATGCAATGAACCAACAAGTTCGGAGTTGATGTCTTATATGCACGTGCTCTATCAGATATGCCCGTATTATAAGTTTGCGTACATATCGGCCAATGTCGTCATTGGGAAAGCCATGAAAAATGAAAAAAGAATCCACATAATAGATTTTCAGATTGCCCAGGGCAGTCAGTGGGTATCTCTGATTCAGGCGCTTGCATGCCGTACTGGTGGGCCCCCATATATCCGTGTTACTGGTGTTGACGATTCACAATCGGCTCATGCTCGGGGCGGAGGACTCCAGCTAGTTGGCCAGAGGTTAGCCAAAGTAGCTGAGGCATGTGGAGTGCCATTTGAATTCCACGCTGCCAGTATGTCGGGATGTGAGGTCCAACTCGAGCATCTTCAGATTCGACCTGGAGAAGCCTTGGCCGTGAATTTTCCTTACATGCTTCACCACATGCCGGACGAGAGTGTGAGCACCGCAAATCATCGAGACTGCCTTCTAAGACTAGTTAAGAGCTTGTCACCAAAGGTCGTAACCGTTGTTGAACAAGAATCTAATACTAACACCGCCCCATTCTTTCAGCGATTTTGTGAAACTCTAGATTATTACACAGCAATGTTCGAGTCAATAGATGCAGCTCGTCCAAGGGGCGACAGGCAGAGGATTAGTGCAGAGGAACACTGCGTGGCAAGGGACATTGTCAACATAATAGCGTGCGAGGAGACTGAGAGGGTGGAAAGGCATGAACTTTTCGGCAAGTGGAGTTTGAGACTTAAAATGGCTGGATTTTCTCCAATCCCATTGAATTCATCAGTTAGTAACGCCATCCAGGACATGCTGAATGAGTATAGCTCGAATTACCTTCTGAGGGAGGAAAATGGCGCACTATATCTTAGATGGAAAAATAGAGCTTTGGTAACATCGTCCGCTTGGAGATAATAAATTGTTAGTGCATGTTTGGTACGTTGCATTCTAATCCACGGCACCAAACATAACTTTAGTGAATTAAGTTCACTTGTAATGTGAAATTTCTGCCCAACATTTATGCTTTTTCTAGCCTATCCAGATCTTCTGGCAGACGCGATTTTGACAACTAGACATTGTACATATTGTTGGAGATATTATACTGATAATGTGCATATTATATTAATCAAGAACATACCGTGAAATCGAAATATCATTCGATTTACCGAAATCTGATTTGTGAAGATAAAATAGTGATTACCAACTTCCAATAAATGAATATGGATTCATCACTTTCCAATCTTAAATGCG